TCGGCTGTGAGTTGCAGATGGCCGACTGTGGAATACCAAGTGAAGGCCCCTCCGGAGCTCACCATGAGACGGAATGCCCATCAAAGGAGGCTATGAATAAGGTCCTTATATGGAGACTTCTCCTGGTACCAAATATCGTTTCCTGATGCAGATGCGATATTCACCTGTGTATGTGAACAAATTAAGAGCCCAAAATATTTGGTGCTCTGTCGAGTCTCACAGAGGCACTTTCTTCACTGGTCCAAGAGGTCAGCAACACGGCCACACAACCGGGCGACAGCTGTTGCCTATCTAGGGTCTCTGACCCCTACGGACTTTGTAGAACTGCTGGACTGCACGCAGTTCTACACACGGTACTGCACAAAGTAACGCAGCCGGCTGGCTGCAAACCATCTGACAACCCCGCAGCATTTCCACGAGGCCGGCCTGCTGAGTACACCCACGGTAGCTAGTGCAACTGCCAGGGACATCACAGTCTATGCAGACAGTACAGATAGCACAACTAGGCTCATCTGTCTCAATTGGCTGTGGTGTAATCAGTACGGTCTACGTGTCTGACTCAGCTGATATGGTTTTGACTGCCGGCATTGTATCTACGCGTACTCTGCTTTGTTTTCCTCTCGTTTGCCCTTGTCTCTATCGGCTCAAATGCTTCTTCTTCCTTCTTTTCTTTGCTCTCTCTGTCATTCTCTGCTCTTTTCCTGTCATAACCTTCTTCAGTGCTCTCTCCTTCATTATTTATCTTGTCTGTCTTTCTTCTGATGTTAGAAGCACCGACAGCTTTCTGATCAACTGAGAGAGGTATCCCTCTCTGCTCACTATAAAGCCTTCCAGGCACGGCAGCGGCGGTCCCCTCAGGGAACCACACTATAGCCCCACCATGAATGGCCATACGTCGGGCCAGAAGTGGATGCGCAGCTCAGGAAAATCCTTTGCAATGAGCTGAGTCTTCTCAAGAGTTGCCACCTGGATTCTGTTTTCTCTCTCTGTGTACATAGAAATCTCTCCAGCGTAGCACGTCTCCATGCCCTTCGGGAGGCTTCTGAAACACGGGCGCTGCCCGTGTTTTCTCCGGGACGTTAAACCTATACATACATACATACATACATCATTTGTTTTAGAAGATTACATCATTATTCCATATAAAATGCATTTTAAATTGATTACCTATTATAATTTCTATAACTGACCGATCACTGCATCTATTCTCTCAGACTGCTTTAACTAGTTCTGACTTTTCCAGCTGAGGGTTCTAGTTAAACATCACTGCCCACTCTAAACATCATCATAGTCTAGCACTTTCAGTTGCCAATCTCAGCCCATTACCCCCTTGATCTACCAATCAGCCATCATAACCTTGGCCTATGTAAACAACTACTCATAGACTTACCCCACTCAATGTTTTACACACTAATATTGTTAGATAATCACTAGTAGATTTTGAAGATAGAATGTTTATCAGAGTATTCTGTTTGATTTGCTACTACCTCTCTGATGAGGCAATCAATTGAATGGTTTTTAAAATCATTCCCTGTTGTTGGAGTGGCCCCCTAAGTGTCAGGGGCTTTGACAGATGTTAGCATGTATAAACACTCTATATTTAACCCTCTGTAATCATCAGATCTTGCTTAGCTTAGCATTAATGACAGAGGAGATATTTGACACTAATGAAAGCAGCTTTCAGCGGCCACTACTCTCATCATCATCAAGCAGCATCTCTGTCAGCACTGCCTCACTAAGCTTGACCCCTGGTCACAGAGACCTTCATAAGTAAAAAGTGGTTCAAAATGAAACCTTGTCAGTGACAGAATTCAAACTTATAGCACATTTAACAATACTACTTTGAGTAAGATTCTTATCAACTACACCATATGGGTTAGAAGTTGATGAATTCTAGAAAACTTTTAATCTCTTTTACTGAAATTGATGTTTTTCAATTGAGAATTCTTTTCATCTTCTTAAGATTCATGCATACATCTTTTTTGACTTCAATGATAAATCTTTAAGTAGATGTCATAGTCACTGACGGCATATATCTATAATGAAAGAATAATAATAATAATAATAGATCATAAACTTAGTCTCAAAGTTGCATTTATCAATATCTATTTATAACTCTGCTTTATATAAATGATTAAGTATTTATTGTATGTGTTTGCAATATTCAATGAGCAATTTATCAATAAAGATTAGAATATCAGTCATATATACTGAGATGATCTCATCAAACAAATCTTGTAAAGCTCGGTTAATATATTTCTGAAATGTACTCAGCATTCATCAATTCAAAGAGAGTCATTATTCATTTATATAATTTATAATATATATAAAAGACAATCAATTATTTATCATCTTTATTGATTTTTATCTTGTAGAAGGCTGTGGAAATGTTAAAATTTGTAAATCATTTTGTTTTTGCTATTTATTTAAACATTTCATTGATGAGTGGAAGAAGATATTGATTCTTTTATATAATTTTATTGAATTTTTAATAATCAACACAGAATTGTCAGTCTTTTTCTAATTTCTTTATAAATAATACAAATGCTACAGCAGATGAATTGCTAATATAAATGAAATTTTTATTCAATAATTCATTAAATGTTTTTTGTAAAACAAAAAGTTTATTGAGAGAGTTTCAGAGTGACTATGAATTTTTTTATTCTCTTTAATGAACTTAATTATATAATTTATGTTATATTCTTGATGAAAAAGAAGTTTTTCAGCTACTTCTTTATTGAACATATCTATGTAATTCTTGTATGATTTGAAAAGTTTTTTGCAAAGCTTTTTGAAATTCTTAAGTTTTAATTTTTCTAATATCTTCTTAATATCTGCCATGCTAGCAGTGAAAACTTGGATGTTCTTTCTCTTATATATTTGATGAATTATTAGATTGAACACTTTCACTGATATTGTAATGAGATCAGTGATTCTATCAATATATCTTGCATCAACACCAGTTGTCTCCTGAGAAGATAAAACAACAAGTATGATGCATTCAATA